GACTTAAATGATTGTTAAATTAGTAATTTGTAATACAATTACTATTTAACATACATTTAGATTTTAATGAGTTTCCATTGAGAAAAACATAAAATTTAAAAAGAATGTGAACTGAAGTCAAAAGTTTTGACACAAACCTTAAAGTATTTAATTTAATTGAAAAGATGTCAAAAATGAGACCCAAATTCCAAACAACGCTTTAAAACCAATTTATTCAAGACTTAAACGTTATTTCACATCAAATAGGATCGCATATATCGGGTATATGTGCTGTTCGTTAGTTACCTGAGTATTACTGCTATAATTCATATGTGTTTGACATTCATTACTGAATCATTTCATTAAACATTTATACACATTATCTCACGAAACAGTTTATCAGAATTAACGGAATTTATATGCGATTAAAACAAAATAAACACTTTATTTATCACAACTTTAACAACAATTCTGTTATAATAATAATAAAATATAACAAACTATCGAAAAAATGTTTATAATTTTATATAATATATTATATAAATACTCGAAAATACAAATAAAAAAGTTTTGTTCGTACTTTTCAGTTGACATCCAATGATTACAAAACCCGACAAAATGTGTTAATGCAAATGCAAACAAAACTTTTCACCAGTATTTTAGTGAGTAATAGATCTAAACATTTATATAATTTAATTGAGTAACAATTGAATTAATAACAATATATTATAGGCCTTTATATGTAAATAATGTTATATTTATATAAAATAACAATAAAAGAGGTTTTTTGTGCAAAAATATATAATTGATTTGCATTTATAAAAAGGTAATTGAATTGAAAATACAATAACCGGTAAATAAATTCTAATTTGGTTTCTATAGTAAACATAATCTCATAATAAGATAGAAAACAATTGTAAACTAAAAGCATAGAAAGTGTTTGAAAAGAGTGGATGAGATCAATGAAGAAATCTGATGGACATCTTCTCCTCGACGTCTGTGCGCTCTAAAGTGGTGCAGAACTCCTCAAAAGTGATACATTGGTCGCCGTCTTTGTCCGCTTCCATAATAGTTCTGTCGGCGATATTAGACAACTGTTCGGTCGATATGTTGGATCCAACCATCATATGAAGCACTGCCAGCAGTTCTTCGCGCGATATCTTCTGGTCGTCGTCCAAGTCATACATTTTGAACGCAAATCTAAGCTTATCTTCGCGTGAATTCAGTTTATTCTCGCGATTCTTCTTAATGGGTCTGAAACGCGACAAAACGCACATAAATTGCCGGAAATTAATCCTCTCTTCGTAGCCATCGTTTTGGGCGAAGAAGGCCTGAACTATACGATCGCCCAATGGATTGATTGCCAACTCTGGTATGCGGAGGAAGTCTTCGCGCGAAAGGGTTCCGTTGTCTCCTTTGTCTAAACTCGTGAAACGACTGTACAGTCTCTCGATCTGTGAAGGACT